ATTTCTTCAACCGTTTGGGCCAAAATATGTCTTCATCGAGCATATTGCAGTTGATTTAGAACCAAATTTTTCTTCTTTTTTTTTTGCAAATCAGAAAAAAATGGAAAGGGTGAATCCGAGAAACAACAAATTAAATTGGTGTGGCCTAACCTACACATGCAGGTATTTTGAGCCTTGAGTATTATCCCAAGAAAGCAGTCAATTTTGGAGAGATCTTGGAAGTAAATTCATGAATTAATACAGCTTCCATCCACTGACTGGTCTTGAGCAGAATTGATCTTACATGAGCTACAAACTTCCTCTCAATCGATACTCCACAATACCAGCTATCAACAGCTGTGGTCAAGGTTAGAATAATCAATAGGGACTACCGCAGAATGTTAAACATTTTCTAGATTTTCAGGAAAAGTCATGTCAAAGTCAAAGCGTAACAAGAATTCGGAGAAAAGCAAGAAAGACCTCTGTCGTTATCTAGTAAAAATCTAGTAAGTTGGAACAAACACAACATCATCAGTACAAATTGCATTATATCTACTAGCTATATAGAAACATACTGGCCCTAAGTCTTCAACTTGAAAATGAGAGAAGCTCCAACTATTTGACCTAAGAATTCTGCTTGTGGCCAAACCAAAATTTTACAAATAGGTTCCGTCATCTTGGATTATCTTTTCAAACCATAGCAAGCCCTCGGTCATCAAAAACATTCGCATCACTGCAAGAGATATAGCTTGTATCCTATTCAAAGAGCTATACTTCACAATGTTGCCTTTTATGTTGGCATACTTTGATAGAATGGATGCCCTTCAGGCCATTTTCCGGTTCTATAGACTGGATTAATCATGTTATAGTTTATAATAGCTTCCGTAGACTGAGTTTTGATGATGAAGTGAAGTCCAATAACCTGTTTAAGGTCACAAATAACAATGTAGGAGAAGTGCATCTGCTATATACAGTATGATGGTGGTTGTAACTATAAAATTATGTATAATTAATAATGATTGATTTGTGAGACACATAATCTTATTGTTATCTCAAAGTAGCAATTAGCCTTAACAGTGTCATGTACATGCATATGGCCCACAGAAATATCTGATCTGATACTGATATAGCACATGTGATAAATATTCAGTAAAAGTGTACAAATGGACCATTGCAAATCTAATCCTGGAGCCATTTGTCAATAGCAGAATAATAATTTTTTATTTTAAATGAGAGCACAATTGGCATCATCTTCTGTTTGTCATCATCAGAACATCTCATATAAGGTCGTATCTGCGTATGTAAGGTTAACAAATATTCTCTGCAACAGGCAAATTCTGATGCAACGTTAACCAAAAATCCAACAAAAACCGTGAAAATGGGTTTGTGCAGGCGCAGTACATTCTGCCAAGTTGAACGTGCTACTGAAAAGCTATCTACGTGAGGACCAGGCCTCGAAATTAAATTTTCTTCCTATTGTCCCAACACTGTCCCCAAAATAAATTTCAGTTGTCCCAAAGTGAGGATGAACTGTCCCAACCTGTTATTTTGGGAAGTATTGTATGACTTCAACTTGAAGTCAACTTTATTTTGCTTGTTCACTCCCAGGCACACTATAATTGCAGAGTAGACAGGAAATTCGGGGGACTTTTCCGGATCCAAAAGCCGGGACATGCGCCTGATAAACAAAAGAAGGGCTGATATTCTGATGTTGATTATTTTTCTACTGTCCCAAATATGTCCCAAAGTGTCTTTTTGTTGTCCCAGCCTTACTTTTAGTGGTCAGTGGCCATTGGACCACCTTTAATTTTGAACCCCTCCCCCCAACGATGTACACAGTTTATTGTATTCCTCTCGCCTGACAGTATTATATACAGTACCAGGCAGACCTCACAAATATGTTTCCGGCAGGAGAAAACCACTACCATTACTTACCCCCATTTGTTTGACAACTTAATCCCACAATACCCTCTCCCTGCCCATGTGTATTTTATCACAGAGCGATGTGACAGCAGTAACAAATGACTGTCTGAGTCATCGGCGCTCCAAAAATGTTATGATTCGGAGATCGAACCACAGAACTTGACCTTGGTAGTTACTTGAACTTGACTCTATAGCTCATGAAGAAGAGTACAGTCATGTACCTTTGCTTTCTTCCATTGTTTTAAAACTCAGTCATGTTTGAAAATGTCGTATTTCAAAATGTAAGACTTAGACTAAGTGTTTATACTAATGTTTCGAAATACAGTTGATGTCATGTTTTGAAATATAACCGTTAAATTTCAAAATATAACTGTCAGAATACACTGTACCTGCTCACATGTTGGGACTTCTTTTTATGGTTTAAGTCTACCTTGTCTTTGCTTTACTTCTTGTTTAAAACTGTCATATTTGACAATGTTGTATTCAAAAATGTAAGACTTAGTGTAATGTTTCCAAATACAGATGATGTTTTGAAATGTAACTGTTAACTTTCAAAATACAACTGTCAGAGTACACTATACCTGCTCACATTTTGGGGCTTCTTGTTATAATATTAATTATTCTACCTTCAAGTTTTTGCTTTTTTTCTTGTTTTAAAACTGTCATATTTGAAAATGTTGTATTTCAAAAATTAATGTAAAACTTTGTGTGATGTTTCGAAATACAATTGATGTCATGTTTTGAAATATAACTGTTAAACTTCAAAACATAACTGTCAGAGTACACTGTCCCCCCCCCCCCCCGCAACCAACTTAAAGTCAGGCTAAGGGACTAGCTTTAAAGGAAAGCACCCGAGAATTTTATTTTCATAGAAGATATATGGTTGATCTTCCCTTATTCATCTTTAAGGGGCCAGTGTCTCCCTAATCTACTAAGTGTTTCCTAGCAGTGTCACAAGAAGTTTTGTATTTCATCAATAATATCTGTACCTTAGGCCAAACCAATTTAATTTCTTGGTTAACAGATTTTTCTAGAAAAATAATGGAGCGGGCGGGTGAAAAAACAGGCCTAGGCATCCTATTATGGCCCAAAATGGTACGATACGAGCCAAGAAGTCAACACACCAGGCTGGTTCAAAATTTAAACAATGAATTTTTCACTTTTAATGATACCACTGCATTGAATGATGGAATAACTATAACACCTAGGAAGAAAAGGACTGTTTTCAACTGTTCAGGGCAAAATATGAGCATTTTGCAGTTGATTGTGAATTTTTAATTTTACTTGCAAATCAGAAAAAAATGAAGCGGGCGAATCCGTTAACCAAGAAATTAAATTGCTGTAACCTTAGAAAGTACTTCCGTATTATTCATTTATGAACTTAATATTCCACAGAAAATGATGCCAAGGTTGAACATATTTATCAACAGAATGGATCATATTCATCAGAAATCTCTCAGGTACAAATGACAGTTTTGTAATATGGTTCTCGGCATGTTTAAGGCATGCCAGATGCAGGCTATACACACATTTATATAACTAATAATTGATAAGTATTATAAATCAAGAAATGTATGGGGAAATCAAAAGATAACAAAGTCTTAAGATATGACAAATAGAGGAAATGGAAAGTAATAAAAAGAGACTACCTCAGGACTGAACCTCGCGATCCGTTCTGGAATGTTGGAAATTTCACCGGAGCGATTGTCCTTTCATTGGTAGAAAAAGTAGGTGAACATATAGAGAAAAAGAAGTCACAAAGAAAAGTGGGAAGTAACATATCTCAACAAAAAATTCTCTTCATTATTCCAAGTATTCTTTCAAAAATGATGATAATAAAGATTGCAGTTACGGTAAAAATAATTACAATCATTGTTTCAACCACCACAAGGATTTTTGTCAGATAAAAGCATTAAAAACATGCTAAATCAATTTCTGAATCAATCATTTAATCTAACAATGCAAAAGACAATTAAAATCATACAAAAGTTAAATCATACAAATGATTTTATCAATTATGTCTTATATAGTTTCATAATTTATTTATCTACACATAATGATGAAGATTTACCACATTTGTGGAAGGATTAACATAACAGGTGACTATCACCTCTTCAAACTACAATGTAATATCTAAATAGTAAAATATGATTTGCAAATACTACCGTTATAGATATAATTGTATACACAGTGAAAGAAATAAAAATAAAAAAGCACAACTGCTACACTTTCAGCATTGTCCTTCCTACCTTTTGTTTCCCAGTTGTAACTTCTAAGTAGTTGTCTGTACAGGAGAAATCCTCAAAGGAGTTCACGTGGAATTCCTCAAATGTGAGGAAGATGCGGTGCCCTTTCTCGGCGGATATGACCCATATACAGTCCGTGATGGCGTGAGGGACGATCGTGAACTTTATTCCGCCTCGGGCCGCAGTCAGCAAACCTCCACAAGCAACTGTAACATATAGAGGCCATTTAGAAAAAAAACTCTAGCCAATTCCTGTTTTGCTAACAATGACATACATGTAGTACATGTAGCAATTACATATTACATTTTGGAACTTTCTGTCTCATAAAACAAAACTAAGCCTCTACGATTGTGGTAACTGTTTCATAATGATCACTTACTGCAACCTGTGAAATATTTGCAGTGCCTTTTAGCTAGAAATACCATCCCCACCCTGTACTATCCTGTACCATCCCTTTCCTTGGTGCTGAAAGACCATCCCCACTCTGTACTATACTGTACCATCCCTTTCCTTGGTGCTGAAAGACCATCCCCACCCTGTAATATCCTGTACCATCCCTTTCAATGCCTTTTAGCTAGAAATTCTAAACTGTTAGGGAAATTTTATGTTCAACTTTATGATTTTATTTTTTTAGTAGTGGAGGTCTTCGACAACTCATGGTACTAGAAACATCTACTTCGTTTTCCATTGCTTTCAACTGAAAGACATACACTTGCTTTTCCTAATACAAGGCTTAGTACTTCTTTTGACATACTTACATATAAAAAAAACAGTCTTTCCCATTAGTTTGGTACTTTAATCTGGACAACACCTGTCAGCTGCACCTATCAACCTGCTAGCATCTTACCTGACATTTGTTTTTCCTTCGGCGTGCAGTCCCGTCCGTTCTCCGCTAGCGCGTAGCCTCGCTCACAGTCACAGCGGAAGCCCGGCTGCATGTTGATGCACATCTGACCACAACTGCTCTGGTTCTGTACACACTCATCCAGGTCTACCTATTGACAACATGAGTCACTCTGATCCATAGGGCTGGGGAACAGCTCAAACTTCAGATGTCTTCTCTTAAAGATTATTTGGGCAGGGGAACAGCTCAATCTTCAAATGTCTTCTCTAAACAAACATTATTTGGGCATCATTTGGAAAGATTATATATTGGGCAGGGGGACAGATCAAACTTCAAATTTCTTCTCTGAACAAAGATTATTTGGGCAGGGGAACAACTCAAACTTTAAATGTCTCATCTGAACAAAGATTATAAGTTTAGCATCTTATTAGTCTTGTGGAATGCAAATACTATTTTCCAGAGATTGAAATATCCAATTTCAAATATTTTGATACAAAATAAGGTAGTTAAAAACCTCACAATGTATGATAGAGATTGAATACCTGGTATACAATTTTGTACTGTTCAATTGTATGTCCTTAGTTCTTGAAACTTTACCATTACCTGGTATGATAATGTACATGCATGTGCAAGCAATATCCACAGAATAGTCAAAACTCATGCAAACAGACTGTACTATGAAACATCCATTACACATTTGTAAGTTTTATGAAAACTTAACATAAATCACAATCCCATGCAGCATTCAATACCTGGTACTGTGTGACATTACATTACATATTGGTTCATTAGGTGCATCAGAATATGTAACTTGTGTAAAAAAAATTACAAAGCAAATACTTTATCAACACCACAATGTTCTTATCAAAATAACAAAGTGAAAACACAATGATTGTGACAACCTAATACAACAGTCAGAAACAGAAAACATGGCTACTGAAACGGAAAGCAAAAGACATCGAGCAGGGAACTTTACCGACTGTGTAGGAGGCGTGGAATCCCGTGAAGCTGCCGATGTTGTTGGAGTTGGACGAGTACGTCAGCAGCAGCTGGTCCACCTCCGTCACGATCACGTGCGGCATCACCTTGCAGTAGCGACCAACCACCATCGAGCTGAAAATCAAACAAAAAATGTTGTTTTAGTTACTGTAATACATATATGGGGGCCCGCAAGCCCTTTTCCGTAGAGCGTAATCGGCTGTTTTAATCCTACGTAATGCATTGTAGCCACTTGGAATTTATCGTACAGCGTAATCGAGAGGTTTCCAAATTCAGCGTAGAGCGTTGTCGGGACCCCCCCTTGCAGGCCCTCATATATGGCAACACGTCTCTTCGTTCAGTGGCAGTGTTCTAGCCAGCAACCGTCTTTCCTTCATTTGATGGAGTTTTGTCACTCATGATAGACAGAAATGTTGCCCAACCCATCATATTGATGGACTAAAGTCAGTATGGCTTCATATCGCAGCAAGAAGCCAGTACTCAATTAAGAAGCTCTTACAAAGGTATCTGATAGGCATCAAAACATAGCTAGCCTAGGCAAGGTAAGACAATCCCTGGTTGTGCAAAAGAAAATCCTAATATCCTATTACACTTGGAAGTTGGGTCCAAGTGGGGTCGTGTGGCATAGCACAGGACCAAGAGGTCCCGGGTTCGAATCCTACACGTCACCAATCTTGTGCCTTTGGGAAAGGCACTTTACACAACTTTCCTCACTTGACTCAGGACTAAACTTTGGTTAGAGACGTCCCTCGGATAGGACGTTAAATGGAGGTCCCATGTTTGGGGAGAGCCACACCCCACACACATTAAAAGAACCCACCGCACTTACCAAAAAGAGTAGGGGTCCTTTCCAGTGTGAGTGATTCAAACCTTACACATGTAGTCCTGTCTTACGCTTCTAGTACTTACTGTACAAAACAGGTGTGTTACGCCTAAAGATGGTTTACCTTTGTTGTGCGAAACAAACAAACAGACATCTCACCATGTTGTGTTACAGTCTGCGTAGCTTCCATTATCACTGTGGTTGAGCAGGTAGCTGACGTACTGAGTGATGTTCACATAAAGCTCCTCGACTTGGACGTAGTTAAACTCACTGTCACAGTCCAGGTTAATGTCATGGAACGTCAGAGAGATGGATTCACCTTCCGAACCTGGGAGAGCGAAAAGAAAGATTGAACTAGTAAGAGAAAGAGTACAGAAAGGAAAACGTTTGAAACATTCATGAGAACAGTCCTGCAACATTATAATTAATCCTGTTCACAATAAAAATGACAAACACAAAAGGTCCACTGCAGTGACGTAGAGACCCCCCCACAAAGCCCATTTTTGAACTTGACTATGCTCCTCACAACGGTAACCTGCCTACCAAAAATCATGAACATTGAACCATGCCTTCAAGAGTCATGCCGCATAGTCTCCCACACTATAGCAAGTGATTTGATAGTCTTCTCGACAAAGGCAAATATTTTAATATTGTAACAAATTCTGTTACAAATAAGAACAGAAATTTAAGCAATAAAAAGCTATGTAAAGTAGTGGTGCAGATTACTTTCCAAGTATTGTTGATAACTTTTAGTTCTCTAAAAAAAACCTTCATTCATTTCAGAATTAGTTCCATATTTGGTAAGAAAATGGCAGCACTTTAGTCGTATTTCAAAAGTAACAATCACAATATTTTCCAGCAAGGTGGGCATGCAATAAGTATTATTACTCAGGCTCACTGAAGAAGAAATTTGACTTCATACCTTTTATGATCCATGCACACTGAATGTCGTTGTAGTAGCTGTAAGGGTACCCCGGGGATGTGATGTTCCCTTCCCTGGCTGTTAGCACACCTCCACAACCTGGGAACAAGAGTTTCAAACAGTCAGCCATTTTGAAATCAATGTTATAGGTTAAAGCAATACTGTTGGAATTTATGGTGAAAACTTCTCTTGCAAGCCACTTTTCTTGAAAAAAAAGAAAGACAGAATCTGAAAATGTAGAGAAATAAGACTGGGTGCAGTATTTAATTGTATGCAGTAGAGAATGGTCTTTCAGCACCAAGGAAAGGGATGGTACAGAATAGTACATGGTGGGGATATTTTTTTCAGCACCAAGGAAAGGGGTGATACATGATAGTGAAGGGTGGGGATGGAATTTCAGCACCAAGGAAAGGGATGGTACAGGATAGTACAGGGTGGGGATGGTATTTCAGCACCAAGGAAAGGGATGGTACAGGATAGTACAGGGTGGAGATGGTCTTTCAGCACCAAGGAAAGGGATGGTACATGATAGTACATAGAAGGGATGGTCTTTCAGCACCAAGGAAAGGGATGGTACAGGATAGTACAGGGTGGAGATGGTCTTTCAGCACCAAGGAAAGGGATGGTACAGGATAGTACAGGGTGGGGATGGTATTTCAGCACCAAGGAAAGGGATGGTACATGATAGTACAGGGTGGGGATGGTATTTCAGCACCAAGGAAAGGGAAAGTACAAGATATTACAGGGTTGGGATGGGTTTTCAGCACCAAGGAAAGGGACAACACATTACAGTACAAGGTGAAAAAGCTAGGAAAAGGGACCACACAAAATAGCCCTGGGTGGAATGCTCTTTAGCACCAAGTTTTCTAAAATATAAACATGTTTTCCTATGTTAGTAAACAGAGAATACTAAGATGTGATGTATAAAAAGCTTACTTGGTAGATATTTTTCCTTTTCCATCATCATGGGGTCATCTCCACTGCCACTGTGTAACATCTGTCCTGATGACTCCAGGAATGAGAAGGGATCTGCATGGGAACAACAGATGGTGAGACATCAGTTTATAACATCTGCTTCATCTGAAGCACTGTAGTACATGGACTTATATTACCTTCAAGTTGTTGTGAATCTACCCTGTGTTTTGATTTGTTCGTTTCAATACTACAAAGTATCAAAGGTGTAATAACAATCTGATATTCCTACAGATTTTGATCACTGCTTTTAAATGTAACTCTACTTTTATATTATTAACCTTTCAAAAAGCCTCGCAATTCAGCCATTGTGGCTGCCAGGAAGCTTGTTAGTGTTCCTATGTTTGTGTTTGCTGAATGAACCAGTCTAGCAGTTTGCCATCCAGGCTTCCAAGAAATGACAAAGCTCATATATAGCTATTGAATGCATTCTGAGCAATTATTATCTAAATTCTTTTTTTTTTGGTTATTTGAACTTTTTTATCATCTTGATGTAAAATTAATGTATATAATATTATCAACTTCATTAATTTTGATGTCACTACTTATTGTATAAGCTTTTTGTTTTACTAATTCATACCAGTCCTTTAAAGTCATGTACAATACATTATTTGCTAGAGAAACTAGCAAGTTCACCCCCAATATAATTGAAGGCGGCCTGCGTGCGTAATAGGCTGTTTTAATTCTACGTAGAGCATAGATGGACCGCTCTAATTCAACGTAGAGCGTAATTGGTACCTTTTTTCGCAGAGCGTAATTCGCAGTTTTAATTCTACTTAATGCGTTATAGCTACCCGAAATTTATAGTAATGGGGAGGTTTCTTGAATTCAGCATAATACGTAGCTGACTCTCAAAATATAGCATACAGCATTGTCTGGACCCCCATGCAGGCCCTCATTGAACAGAACCAGAAGACTGAACACTTACCAAGTTCATACACGGTGTAGTTGACCTTGAACCCCCTGCCGACCACAGACTCGTCACTCTGAAAGTGTAGCTGGACAAACGGACCCAGACTGTACACCTCTGTCGGGACAGCATGGCCGCAGTACCGACCCTGTAACTTGGCTGAAACACAGATGGAAAAAAACATGGAATTTGCTATAATAATTACTTTAGAGTAAGAACACACACATGTAGCACTTCTTCTAATATAATGTTAAGTACTAAAATTGGAGCCACTACCCTGACATACATATTACACAACCTTATATGATTTCTCTTACAAAAATAGGATCTATTAAGGGTTCACCATCCACATTTTGCTCAGAAAGATGCTGAAGGGCCCTTTCATCAATTCCAAGTCAATATTTCAAACTGTCAGTATGTGTAACACTGATTTCATTTCATTTCATTTTTATTTATTTACCCAGGGTAAACATGTCGCCGCAAGGGCGTTTTTCAATGTTCCCTGCGGACATATACATTTACAAAATATACTTATTAGCTTAAAATAACAAACAGGAAAACAAAGGTACAATTAGCTTAATTGCAAAAATAACATATTGGTAAAGTGCTTCAAAATCATACGGTAAACTAATAACTTATATGAAACAAGCGAATAAAATGCAACAAATGAAATAAATAAAGAAGGTAATGGAAATTTGCATATCAATGTTACAAAACAAAAGTAACGGTTACTATGTTGCGAGAACATTCTGGTTATACAAACGCTTAAACCAGGCGACGGAAGCTGCTGTTTTCAATGTAGATGGGAGAGCGTTCCAAAGAGCTGCACCAGTACTGGACAAGGATTTCTTTTTGTATTGCAGATGAGCCTTAGGCAGTTGTAGTCCCCCCTGTGCTCTTAAGCGTGTATTGTATGAGTGAACTTCCCTGAGCTGTGTGAAGAGATCCGAGATGTGAGGAGGGGACAAGCCATTCAGAGCCTTGAATACAAGCACTGCTTTGTTCCTCTTGTGTAATTCATTCACAGGTGTCCAACCTAGATTGTGCAGTATAGTGTCGATAGGTGTGTAGCGATTGCACCCCAGTATCACCCTTCCTGCCCTGTTCTGTAGTTTCTGAAGTTTGTCTATACATTCCTTGCTACCTTGATCCCAGACAGTACTGCAGTATTGTAAGTGGGGAAGGAACAGTGATGTGTATATTGTCAGCAAAGCTTCTGTGTTAATAAATGGTTTCAAAGACTTCATGATGCCAATTGTCTGAGACAATTTTTTAGTAACATGCGAGATGTGGTCGTTCCATAGTAACGAGCTATTTAAAAAGACCCCTAGATACTTAAAAGTATTCACCTGGTCTAGCTCTGTGCCTGATAATGTGAGGTGAAGGTGACTTCTTGTGGCGGCTTTGGCCCTATGTGTCCCCACAAGCATAGATTTGCATTTTGAGGGGTTAAGTGAGAGTTTGTTTGCAGTGAACCAGTGCACAAGCCGAACTGAGTCACTCTGAATTGTCTGCATTATTGTCTGTACATTCCGGTGTGCAAAATATATGATAGTATCATCTGCGTACATCGCTATCTTGCATAGCTGAATACAGTTTGGCAAGTCGTTGATATATAAGATAAAAAGAAGTGGGCCAAGGATAGACCCTTGAGGTACGCCACAAGTTACTGGTGAAGGTTTGGACAGTACCGCCTCAAGGCATGTACGCTGAGACCTACCAGTCAGGTAAGACCTGAACCATTTGCAAGACATTTTGTTTATACCATATAGTTTAAGTTTAAGCAACAAAATATTATGATCGAGTGTATCGAAAGCCCGTGACAAGTCACAGAAAATGACTGATGGCAATTAAATTACCATACAGTGAACATATTCCATCAGAAATGTGCTGCATTAAAGTACATACTGCACTACATGTGTATATGACTAGTGGTGTTCAACAGAATTTGTTTAGAATCACTATTCTTTTTTTCTACCAGTTCATTCAAACAGTGCTTCAATATATACTTTTAGTACAGATATAGAAATATAAACTTGAAGAAAACATTCAGTGTACACTTTAAAACTCAATATTAAACGTATTATGTTTTGCCAAGGCTAACAAATTATGTAAAGAAAATTTAAGTAAAGCTTATCTAAATGTTAAGTAAAAATGATGCTATTTTCCATAATGATTATAAAGCAGCTAAAATCTTTTGCTTTGAAACTATCAGCAACAAGATGGCATTAAAAAGGCACTAAAAATGCTCTACAAGGGTATTAATCCCTAGAATAGAAGTCTTAGATAGATGGGGTGCCAAATTATTCCCATAGAAACAATAGGAACAGTAGTGCTAAGTCTTAAGCATGCATTTTTCAGGATTCTGCAATGAAAATGCTCATCCATAAAATACCCACCGTCCCACTTTACGACGCATACTCAGCACTTAAAAGTCCCAATGGGATACTCAGCTGCCAGGCTTCATAAAGGGAAACCTGATGATTTATTTGTCTTCAGCACATTCAACAGTGTTGCTCATATTGCTTGTAATAAGTCACTGACAGGGTTGACGAATGTAGGGCTCTGTTCTGCCATGACATGGACATGTGTTACAAGTTATTCTAAGACCTGGGTGTGAATGCGGTGAAGGTCTAGGACTATCTTTTTAAACATCTTCAGAATTTACGATTATCATAAGAACTAACAAATCATATTTTTTATAATGCAATGCTTCACAATGCTTTATAATGCTTCACCATCCAAATTCCTTGTTCGAAATCTTTTTACAGTGACAGTTTCTTTCCCCGTACGGCCAAGCTTCAATGGAATTCCCTCCCTGACAAGTGTTTCCCACCAACCTACAATCTACAGGCTTTCAAATCGAACGTTCACCGCCATCTCTTGACATAGCCATGTTTTTCTCATATTTCTAGTTCAATGCCGAGAAGTGGTCGTATAGGCCTTGCATTGAACCAAACCGTTAAAAAAAATGTAATGTAGAGTAAGTCAATCTTATAGTACTAAGTATTCAAATTGCTAAATGCAATCATGATAATGTCAAAAGACAATCAAAAGTAAAGTAATCAGTTTTGGTTCCTTTCAACCCAAAAATCCTGTTTTCTCTGTATACTTTTCTGTTTGTGGAGATGTTCTTTCGTGTACTAACGTTAACAGAGTAGTGGTTTCAAAGTGGAAACACTACAAGCAGGCATCAAACGTGAACATAGATTTGGGTCAAATATCACCCCTATGTGTGTGGGACTGGTCAAGAAAGCAACAAACCACCTTTTGCAAGTACATGTACATGTAGGATTTTGGGTTTAAAAAAAGGCATCAAACTGAAATAAGTGTATTTGTCTTTTAAGTAATACAACACAAGACTTAGTGTTCCCTAATAATAAGCCTTCTAATTCTCACCACTAAATTACAACTATCTATGGCAGATTTGCTGCTAACATTTGATGGCCTATCTAATAAAATCCTTCATAAAAATAAACATATAAATGATGTAGAGATACAATCCCATTAACAACTGTCCTCATCATGCAAATATTACAAAACTCATTCAAACAACAATGCTTCACTGTCATAAAAAACTTTTGTTTAATATGATGATAATAAATTGACAGTTTCATCCCTAGATATATCACAAGGATGACATGTAATTACATAACATTGTAAAAACTGATGTATTCAAATCCCTTGAGAAATGATATACATGTAAATATTCTCAAACATGGCCCATATCCCTGTGTAACTGTCATTTAACTTTCCTATAGTGATCAATTATGCTGCCACATATTCAAGGTTTGCTATGTTATATAATAATCATCTTATGTAAAATTTAAGTTTGCAAAAACTTAATTTCACAGTAGGAGAAAGGACACATTCAAGCATTTTTATTATGAGCTCATAGTTGAAATAACCATAGTTACTGTGTGTCGGTGAAGGTTAGACATCCAAGTAATAAGATACGCAAAAAAAACTGTAACAGTTACTCAAGCATCTGGATATGATTTTGGAAATGGTCAGACGTTTCAGGTAGCATCCACTACCTTTTGTCAGTGACACTAAGAGACTGCAGGAGAAATGCAGGTCTATAAGCACAAACTATTGATTGATATGCAAAAAGTGAACTTCAAGACAATTATTTTGGAGTTTAAAAGGAAACAAACAGGATAGACAAGTCAAGACAAGGATGATTCATAGTTTTGTATCATTTGCAAATTATTATACAAGACGGAAAATATAATGCGGGCTTATAGAACGGGGGTTTGGTGGTCTTCGGCTGTTTTCTGATTAGCCCAGTTCAAAAAACAGGGGTAATTCAACCAGGCCGGCTATGTTGTCTATATGCAATCAGAAAATAGCACATAAAAGCTCCCAAAGACCATGAAGACCCCCCAAACCCCCCAGTTTTTGGCATGCTAACTTTGTGGTTTGTTGAGTTTGCTATGAAGAGTCACTGCAAAAACTGTGAACATGAAGTAACTGTCATATATTAAAAGATTTCCAGTATCATGTACAGTGAAGACTTCCTTGTCACATATTCACAGCTTGCTAATACTACATGAATTCAATCTCATTCAGAAAAGTGTTCCAGGCATTTAACTATCTTGTCACATACATCATATTCATGACTGCTGTATTATGAAATTTATCTCATGTGTTTCAAAGTAGAGGAATGTCTGGGTTTGATAATGGTGGCATTTATTGAGCATTGTACCAGGTATATTTGGATTTCATGCCTTAGGTGTTTGAGGAGTTGTTATCAAAGTAAGAAAATATGAAATACATTTATGTATTAAGCTGAAAAAGACAGAAGATTCAAAGGTTGCATTTTAGATAGCAGGGCTCGAAATGCTGAGTGCAATTGTGCAACTTAGGCCACACCAATTTAATTTCTTGGTTAACGGATTCGCCGCTTCATTTTTTTCACATTTGCAAATAAAAATAAAAATCCAGAATCAACTGCAAAATGCTCATATTTTGCCCTGAACAGTTGAAAACAGTGTCATCCTAGTTGTTACAGTTATTCCATCTTTCAATGCAATGGTATCATTAAAAGTTCAAAATCCATTGTTTAAATTTTGAACCAGCCTGGTGTGTTGACTTCATGGCTCCTATCGTACCATTTTGGGCCATAATACGATGCCTAGGCCTGTTTTTTTTTTTTTCGCCCGCCCGCTCCATTATTTTTCTAGAAAAATCCGTTAACCAAGAAATTAAATTGGTGTGGCCTTAGTGTACCCAGATTTGGTGCTATGCACCCAATTTTTTTCTGTGCACCAGTGCACCCAAATATTTTCGTAGGTTTACATATGTCAAGTTGTTAAATGTACTTTTTAGTATACAGCATATTCTTAACAATTAGGTGTCAGAAAATTATTCTTGTAGTACTTTGCTTTAGAAATTTAACATATATGTTATAATTAGTTTTTGCAGACACTCTCAATCTCATTTTATATTGTGCACCCAAAAATTATTTTGTTATGTGCACCCAATTTTTTAGGTTGGGTGAACCAGTGCACCTATTCCCAAAAAGCACTGGATAGTAACATGAGCTCAACTAAATGCTGCATGGTGCTCTTGAACTGCCAGAAAACAGAGAACGTATTAATTAAATTTACTAAATGTAGTACCAGTATAATGTAGTACGAAGCTGGTGTGTTATGCCGAAGGGTGGTTATTATATACCAGCTATATATAACAGATATAGATTCTGAGATGTTCAAGACATTTAATGGGGATGGAAATATCACATTTTCAACTTGATAGAATGTTCAAACAACTATTAAAAGCTCCTGTCAATGCTCAATTAAATTACATCATAAATATTTTAAAAAGGAAAAATTATCATATCATTAATCTGCTTGTTAAAAAAATAACAGAATCTGATGCAATATTGTCTACTATGAAACACAATCATTATCATTTTTGTGCACACGACATATAGCTCTGCATCTCAACAATTCTTATATCAAACCCTCCATTTTCTATATGAAATTACATTTAATAATTGCAGGTATTTTATCATCCATACTTTTCTCTGTTTTACTCTATCATGATGGTGACATTCAAACGGTTTCCATTTGGTTGTCAGAGATGGAAAAAGCCAGCCTACAGAGTTGACATGGATTCATTGCTCTACTTTGTGAAGATAAGTTGGACCTGATCAAAATCGACAGTATAAAGAATGACTGTAGAACACTGATATCAGTCACAACTTGGCAATGGCATTCAGGAAATACAAAAAAAGGCACTCCACATGTACATTGTACAGTAACTGTATGTAACTGTATGTATGCTTGCTGTACAGTCATAATTATTGTAACCAAGAGCTATTTCCCCCTAAATGTTCACAATTTTGAAACTCAGTGTGCAGTATTGGAATCGTCTGTTTGTATTTTGTCTTAAATTGTGATCGTAATAGCAATATTATAAAACATACAATTATATTCTGATGTCTACAGGAATTCATATTTTACATATTTCACAATACATTATTGTGCCTTCTTCTGATTAAATTTCAGTCAGAATTTTCTATTTTCTTAAATTTTGTGATCAAAAATAACTCACATGAGTACTACATGAATACTAAACATGAATACTAACATTTGCAAAGCAAATGCACATAGTCTGTTCTGTTAATTCTTAATCAAATATATTCATATGGTCAGACAGGAGTCTAAATCCCTCCTGCTATAAAATTGCAACATGATGTAAACCCAACATCAGTTACCATAGTGACAGACGTCAACAAATCAGGTCGTTGGCCAGGTCAGAGGTTAGTGTTTAGAGAAGAAGAGGAAACTGAGCAAAAACAATATGTTTTCCTTCGGTTTGAATAATAATAATACACGCATTGTATCCATAATCTAAAATTAAAAAGAAAAGCTAACCAGGGAAATCAATGTATTAATGCAAGCAATTTGTCACTCCTACCTGTGAAGAATAATCATGTTATCTATCATATGATGATTTATTGGTCTTTCAGGCATGAGCCAGGATAAGCCTCTTATCTATTACAACAATTGCATGTTCGTTTGTTCAAAGGTTGAATTGATTTAGCTCTACTTTGACTGGTACTGAACGCATCTCAGCAGTAAAAACGTATCTACATCATTATATATAAATTAAAGTAGCTTTATCATTTTTAAATGGAATATAGCTATAAAAAAAGCTTGGATTTTAAAGAAGATCATTTTGTGTGGAAATTTAATTAATAAGTAATTGTGAGGTAATATAACATTGACTCAAAAAGAAACATTGCGTAATAAGTCTTGTTTAATACACACACAGACACACACACAGACACGTGCGCGCGCGCACACACACACACACACGCACACAAACACACACACAGACGCACACACAAACACACACACAAACGCACACATACACACACACACACAAGCACACACAGACACACACACAGACGCACAGTCACACGCTCACACACAAACACACACACACAAACGCATAGACGCACACACACACACACACACACACACAAACACACATACAAACATAGACGCACACAAACACACACACACACACACACACACACACACATTGAGTCTTCTTGGCTAAGGTAAAAACTCAATGCCCAAAAGACAAAGCACAAAAGTCTTGGCCCATTTGCGACATTTTCTTGGACTGGTTGATGGCTCCTCTGTAAATGTCAATGCGAGGAACGTGAAAGATCAGTCTGACTACCCTAACAGCTTGTTGAATACAAATCAACTTTTCAATGCCTGTTCTTTTGTCCAAGGACCTGTTGGCGTTAAAGGTTTTATTGGCAATGCATCAAGTTTAGCAGGGCTTAACAAGACATTTATGTTGAAATTCATAAGGGAAATACAAGGGCAGACGTTCAATAAAAATATTACCTGAGCAAGTTCTAGTCATTGTATGAGACTGAATTAAAATTCTATAGTTCATCTTTTCATTTCTGAACTCTTATTAGTATCTTATTTATGTACAGTTGCTTGGGTAGAAGTTTGACAGTGGATTCAGTTCAATTCAGAATGGTCCACCTCCATAAAGTTCCTGTTCCACTCTATGCAGAGCATAGGGGTGGTGACCATCTCAATTTCTGTAACCCTTGGGCCACGCAATTGTGCAAGCACTTAACAGCAGGGGGGCTAGTCCGCTTGTAGTGTTTTGTGTTGACTTTCTCATACGCCTTATCTCATAGATACTGAGTGCTAAGCAGAGATAGCACTACAAGGGCAGACGTTCAGGTGCACTTGCACATAAAAACATCTTTGAGAACAGAGTTGTATTATCAACCACATTCTTACAGGTAGTCTTCAATGCAGTTGACACAGCTTTTTTGTCTAATCTCATAGAAACTGAGTGCTAAGCAGAGATAGCAGTACATGTATGTACCATTTTTAAATTCTTTTGGTATGACCGATTTCCAGATGTACAATTGTACATGTATGACCGAGAGGGATGGACGCAGATGGTTAGACATGCAGTGCCCCCACAACCCTGGCCTGGGTTAAGGGACGTGGAAGGTACAACATATGACCCAGTCGGGGTTTGAACTCACGACCTCCCGGTTACAAAGCATTAGCACTCTACCCGATTGAGCTATTGCACTGTACATGGAATACATGTACTCATAGCTCAAGCATTCTGGGCCATTTGAAGATCTGTCAGACACCATGTTGGTGTCCCAATTTGCATATCAGTGAACCATAGCTCAAGCATTCTGAGCCATTCAAAGATCTTTCAGCTGCATTACAAATCCTCAATACAAATCAAACTAAAAGATTTTGTAGACTCACCTTCACCGTCGTCTGTCCCATGGAAGATTTCCAGGTAGTCAAAAGAACAGTTTCTGGAGTCTTCCAGCTGGAACTCCACAAACTCCAGTCGGATACCATGCCCGGGCGGCGCCCACACCGTCCAATCACAGTTCTCCCTCTTCGGGTAGTTGTATGGGAAGAGCGGGGTCTTGATCGTGCCTTTGTGGGAGGTGATGTTCTGCTTGCAGTTGGACTCTATGCTTCACAGATGGACACATGTGGATTAAAATTCTAAAGAAAACCCATCAAAAGTATCTAATAAAGTCTGTCAGCCGCCATGTTGGTGTCCCAATTTGCATTTCAGTGAATCATAGATGTTCTGCTTGCAGTTGGACTCTATGCTTCACAGATGGACACACGTGTATTAAAATTCTAAAGAAAACCCATTGAGAGTATCTATTTAGAGTATTTCCAATGGTTTGTCAGCCGCCATGTTGGTGTCCCAATTTGCATTTCAGTGAATCATAGATGTTAGATGCTTGCAGTTGGACTCTATGCTTCACAGATGGACACATGTGGATTAAAATTCTAAAGAAAACCCATTGAGAGTATCTAATAAAGTCTGTCAGCTGCCATGTTGGTGTCAAAATTTGCATTTCAGTGAATCATATATAGATGTTCTGCTTGCAGTTGGACTCTACATTGTGTATGCTTCACAGATGGACACATGTGGAATAAGATTTTAAAGAAAACCCATTGAGAGTATCTATTTAGAGTCTTTTCACTGCTCTGTTAACCGCCATGTTGGGGTCCTAATTTACATATCAGTGAATCATAGCTCAAGCATTCTGGACCATTTGAAGATCTGTCAGCCGCCATGTTGGTGTCCCAATTTGCATATCAGTGAATCATAGCTCAAGCATTCTGAGCCATTCAAAGATCTTCTGACCTCCTCATTATTGCATGACTTCCATGAAAAGAAGAGAATCCTACAAGAATAATAAAAAACCTTGTAACAGTACTATAAACCTTATAATTTTAAACGCTATAAACCACAAAAATGCTTAAAGTTTGTATGCTTGAGGTACCATCCATTGAAGTGCAAATAAGGGCACCAACATGGCAGTCTGCACCTGTCTGCACGATGCTTCATCTAAGTGTATGGAAAGTGGCTTAAAACACTCTAAACGTACCTAATAAATTCACATATGCCACAATTACACATAGTAACAAAGTTACTGTTACAGTAACTCTAACAACCTAACTCGTCACCCATAATTTACAGCAATCTTGTCTCACTTCAAGACAGACGTTACAAGTTAAACTAATTAAAAGCAACCAATGAAATACTTTGGTGGCTCATTCCCCCCTAAACCAACCTATTTAGAAACACAGGGCCTTTTGTTGACATTGACAGGACCAGGGTATTGGATAATTCCCCTTTGCCCCTGTTGTCAATTACGTCCTAGTTCCCATCCTGCCGTAATTAAGGCCTTAGACAGTTGACAAAGCTGAAGGGAAATAGTTTGGGACAGGTTGTTCAGGTCAGCCCCAGGTTATGCCCTACTGAGATGGGATCAAACAAGGAAGGATTTTAGATAATCCAGTTTCTTTCCTTCAGGCAGTCAACACTTTGTTTCTTAGCAACAAGATTTGGCCATGTCACTGCAGTCTGCTGTTTCATGAAATGCGTGAATTTTAAAACAAACAATACATGTCAGGTAATGTCCAGGTTATGCCCTACTGAGATGGGATCTAACAAGGAAGGATTTCAGATAATCCAGTTTCTTTCCTTCAGGCAGTCAACACTTTGTTTCTTAGCAACAAGATTTGGCCATGTCATTGTAGTTTGCTGTTTCGTGAAAATGCGTGAATCTTAAAACAAACAATACGTGGTAATGTCCAGGTTATGCCCTACTGAGATGGGATTTTACAAGGAAGGATTTCAGATTATCTAGTAGTTTCTTTCTTTTAGGCAGTCAACACTTTGTTTCTTAGCAACAAAATTTGGCCACGTCATTGTAGTTTGCTGTTTCGTGAAAATGCGTGAATCTTAAAACAAACAATACGTGGTAATGCCCACAGGTTATGCCCTAGCTACTGAGATGGGATTTTACAAGGAAGGATTTCAGTTAATCCAGTTTTTTTTTTCTTCAGGCAGTCAACACTTTGTTTCCTAGCAACAAGATTTTGCCATGCCACTGCAGCTTGCTGATTTGTGGAAATGCTTCATTATTTTACAGTTTGAAACAAAAAACATTTTGTGATCTCCATTGTAATTTCTAGGTCTGGTCCAATTCTCTGATGTCTCCCCTGACAAATTCCTACCGATCGTCCTTTATTATTATACAAACATTTGGCCAAATACGGCAGTTATCATTCCAGGTATCAAACACTTTAGAACCTGTTTAACTGCAATCAAACTTCTGAAAATCTGTTCAAACCCAGTTACTATGCCATTATAGAAGATTGTGCACCTTGCAACTGATCTTAGTGTATATTTTAGGTCTGTATCTGAGGCCACACCAATTTAATTTCTTGGTTAACGGATTCGCCCGCTTCGTTTTTTCTGATTTGTAAATAAAAATAAAAATTCAGATCAACTGCAAAATGCTCATATTTTGCCCTGAACAGTTGAAAACAGCTCTTTTTATCCTAGTTGTTACAGTTATTCCATCTTTCAATGCAATGGTATCATAAAAAGTTCAAAATTCATTGTTTAGATTTTGAACCAGCCTGGTGTGTTGACTTCATAGCTCCTATCGTACCATTTTGGGCCATAATAGGATGTCTAGGCCCGTTTTTTTTTTTTTTCGCCCGCCCGCTCCATTATTTTCCAAGAAAAATCCGTTAACCAAGAAATTAAATTGGTGTGGCCTAAATGCCAAGCTTTCCCAATCAATGCCAGACTATTTTGCTGGTAAGTGATTACAGCATAGCCTGGGTGCCATCCGATTTGTAATGGGGTAGCCATTACAAATTGGCTTATTACAACAGCCAACCTGAGCTAGAATAGGTTGGATTCCAGGCTAGGAGGACATGATTTACACTTTGCAAGAATGCACTTGTGGAGTAAATCTAAACAGAGCAGTGTAAAATAAAGACTGAACTTTTCTTGCCAACGCTGGAATGAATTGAGATCCTAAATTTTCATGGAATGGACCCGTCTACTCTTGGAACGTGACTGTAGTAGCGGGTCATAGTAGTTGTGCCAGATAACTTGTGTCGCCCCCCCCCCCGTCTCTGTTCAGGGTAGTTCTTTGAGCTCTAAAATGTAAACCTGTCTTTGATGGCACGTTCCAAGAGTAGACGTGTCCATTCCGTGAACAAGGTTGAAGGAGTCAGCCAAACAATTTGGTGTAAGTCCAAATTCACTCCAGTGTTGGCAAGGAAAGTTTAGTCTTTATTTTATAATGACTTGCCCCCAACACAGAAGAACTTTCATGCTGAACAGAACAGGTTAACGAGCTTACTGGGACAGTTGTAGAGCACTCTGGCTTGGATCACATCACCCTGGCTCAGACGCTCGCGCTGTCCAATAGTCACACCTGAAAATCACATAAGAACTTTATTGCATGACAACTGTAACTGGTACAACGTATGGCAAAGTACATGCCATAGTGACTTACATAGTTGCCTTCGACGAGAAGGCTATGAAATTGTTTCGGCACTGTTTGGCAGATTATGCACAATAACTCTTGAAGGAATGGTTCGAGGTTCACGATTTTTGGCAGGCAGGTTGTCTTTGGGGTGGCCATTGTCAAGGCCAAAAATAGGTTTAGTGGGGGGTTCCTACATCACTGCAGTTGACCTTTTGTGTTTGTGTTTTTTCTTGTTGGTGATGCTAACAATATCTAACAGTTCTAAGAGGTGACAGTTCTACCGCTCCTCAGAAGCTGATCTACTACATGTTGTAACAATATATTGACATTGATCTGTAACAAGATATTACAGAAAACCTGTTTGGTCTACCATTAGTTTAAGTATAAACTCCAAAGACATGACTTCTGGAATCATCTCCATGGAGCTCTTACATGTATCTCCACAGAGATGACTGGTATAGACCCTACTTTGTATGGTCCCTCCTTCAATTGGCACCAAGTACACAAAATTGTCACAGAATCTGTCTGAAGCTTGAAAGCTTAAACGTAACCTTATCAAATATTTGTCAATAGGGCCAATTTAGAGCTGCATTGTTGCATATTAATGATGCCAAGCTTTACAATAAGTATCAAAACTGAGGTGTGAGGACTGTCCTTGGTGCTGAATATATATTCCATTGGCACTAAATTGTGTGAGTAGGACCAATTTTAGAGCTGCATTCTTGCATATTAATGATGTTAAGCTTTACAATTAGTAAGTACCAAAACTGAGGTGTGCAGACACTGTCCTTGGTGCTGAATATGCCTTCCATTAACACTAAATTGTGTGAATAGGACCAATTTAGAGCTGCATTGTTTCATATTAATGATGTTAACCTTTACAATTGGTAAGGCCACAGCAAGTAAATTTTATGAATGACATCCTCCGCAGATTCCAAATCTAATGTGAGCGGGCGAAAAAAAACATGGCGGGCTGAAAAAAACAAGGTTCCTACATTTTAAAACTTTGACTCAATCATTGTACAAATGGTTTTGAATTAGTGGGAACATCACATATACACAGCAAGCATCACATATCATTGCATCAAAGTAAGAAAGAAAACATTAAATCAGAGCCTTTTCTTGTCTCCTCTCTTTCATAGTTATCTGCCATCCACCTTCCGGCATGGCAACAGACATCTTTGCCCATTCTCAGCATACTGACCACTGTCAGAAGGCAACAAAATCTCTTCTTTTTTTTTTCCAAAATCAGGCGAAAATCGATGCGCGTGCTGATGTCATCCATAAAAATTACTTGCTGTGGCCTCAGTACCAAATCTGGGGTGTGAGGACACTGTCCTTGGTGCTGAATATGCCTTTCATTGACAATAAAGCACATTCAACATCATAGTCCAGTGAAAATAAATGCACATCCACGTGCTAATCACCAACATCTGATGAACTACAGCCAGAACTTGCACAAAATTCTAAGAGAGGCTTGTAGTGACTGCTCATACATTTGTGCTATCTATTAGTAAGGGTTCCGAATTGGAGTCCATTGACAGTATGTGCCTTGTATGTAACAAGGTTTAACTCCATCAATCAGTATTCATTTGTGCTAACGTTACATGTACATGGTATGGAATTCAGAATAGATACATGTAGCTGTAGGGACAGGTATAAGGTCCTAGTATACTCTATGCAGAGCATAGGGGTGGTGCCCATCTCCATTTCCGTAGCCCTTGGGCGACACACAGTTGTGCAAGGCACTACAGCAGGGGGCTGGTCCGCCTGTAGTGCTGTATGTTTGACCTTCCCACACTCTTTCTCATATATGCTGAGTGCTAAGCAGAGAAAGAAGTGTGTACCATTTTTAAAGTCTTTGGACAGGTATATAAATGTTGAATTTCAAACAGTGCTCACTGACTTTGGCAGCAAAGAGGAAAGATATTTTGGATGAAAAAATCTCCATGCTAGTAAAATTTACTGGCACTTTTTAGTAAACTAAATCTAATTATTTAGTATTTATGGCATTAAAATACAAACAGCAAAATAAAAAAGTTTCTCACTTCAGTTCAACACACTTTGGGTGTAAACATTGATCCAGACTGTTATTATGAAGTTATTAATTAGTGCAATATTCAAATTCTCAATACCAAAAAAAATTTAGACCTTATTTTATTCTTACCCTGAGTCCCTTAAAAGGCATCGATTTTAAGGCCTGAAAACACGATTTTTCAAAGCTAATATTCTTAGTCACTTAACTATATACTGAATTGAAACCACACTATCCAAATATTGACCCTCATGGAGCAAAAATTCCCAAAATAAAATCTGACAGAAAATGGTTACTGGAAGGGCCCTTGGCTGATTTTTAGGGCACCACCCAGAAAATAAAAGACTCATCTTGGGGCTTGTTTCTGCAGTTAACTTTAAATGCCCAAAGCTGACTCAAATGTGCTAATGTGAAGCAGTATGTGTCAATATCACAAAGATTGCCTTATTCAGAATATTTCCAGTTTTGCTGCCCTGAAATTGCATTGGATGCCTTTAAATGTGTTGTTTCTCGGATTTTTTCAGAAAAAAATAGGAAGCGATAGGGAAAAAAAAAGGCCAAGGCACCCCATGATAGCCAGAAATGTTACTGTAACAATATAAGCCATGAAGTGAAATACAAGGCTGGTTTATAATTAAAACAATACATTTTGAACTTTTAATGAAACAAAATTGCATTGTTAACATTGAAAAACTTTTAAGAACCAGGAAGAAAAGGACTTTCTTTCCGTTGGGGCCAAAATATGTCTTTCATTGAGCATATTTTGCAGTTAATTTAGAACAAATTTTTTTTGCAAATCAGAAAAAAATGGACAGGGCAATCCGAGAAGCAACAAATTAAATCGGTGTGGCCTTAACTAGTTTGACCTACCGTCTTGTAGAGGTACGATGGTGTCCCGTCCGTTCATACTGAAGGTCTGTTTGGGGTAGTGCATGATGGAGTAGTAGTCATACTCCTGACCCAGAGAGTCAATCTCGTACACGGACTTGCGGTCAAAGTTCTCGTGCTTCTCCTTGCGAATGTTCGATTTCAGAATCTTGATGTACTTGTCTCTGTCAGGCCTGTGGCAGGGGAGACAGAGAAAGATTCATAGCTCCTGTGTTTTTCGATAGAGATGCGCGCTGAAGACATGGAGGTGTATTGATTAACATGCTAGATGTGAGTGGTGGGGTTCATACGAGTGACATGACACTATATCAGCAAGTCTGAGCTGTCAGGCAGCAGCTATAAGTATACCATCATGACAGCTCATACAGTCAGTTCAGATCAGTTCACTTTATTTCACACTTTAAAACAAAATGTAACAATACAAATACAAGAAAATATAAATGAAATGTAACAGTGCAGGGAGGCCGGAAGCATAAAATGCTTATGAGGAGGCCTCCCTTCATAACGTGATTAACAATTCAAATAAATCGGATAAATAAGAAATAACTTAGGTAACGGGTAACAGTCACAGCCTCTTCATTTTATTCACAGCAATATAAGGCCACACCAATTTAATTTGTTGGTTCTCTGATTTTTTCAGAAAAAAATGAAGCGACAGACTGAGGAAAAAAATAAAATAAAAACAGGGAATTCCTTAAATTTCATAGCCCCAAATGCAATGATAGGAGCCATGAAGTCAACACAAAAGGCTGGATTAATTTAATATTCAAAGAATTTTGAACTTTTAATCAAACCACTGCATTGATACATGGAAAAACTGCAACAACTAGGAAAAAAAGGACTTTCCTCAACTGTTGGGGGCAAAACATGAGCATTTTTGAGTTGATTCAGAACCAGAATCCTTTTTTTTTGGCGAGAGGAGAATCCAAGAACCAACAAATTAGAAAGTTTTATTGCAAATACGTGCCCAAGGGCTAATTGCAGGTACAAACAACATGTATGGAAAATCAAATACAATGACTACGTCTAACATTATACTACATGTATATTCTACAACATACAAATGTACATGGTACTTCAATTTTGCTGGGTTTGACTTCTTCTTTTGAGGCAGTGGAAGATGAATTTACCAAGACTTATTCTATGATATTGCGCATTCTGTGTCCTTGAGAGTGTCTTAGAATATTTTACACTTATCCTCATTCCTTATTCTTGCATCATACATTGGTGTCAAGACCCTCATCCATTGTATTTGACAGGAGATATTCCTTAGCCTGTTTTCTGCTACAGGAGATGCAACAAAATTTTTACAAGAACAACAAATCTTATAAGCTTGTCTTAGAATACCAGCCACAACTTAGGCCACACCAATCTAATTTCTTGGTTAACAGATTTTTCTAGAAAAATAATGGAGCGGACGGGCGAAAAATGATGAAAAAATAAAAACAGGCCTAGGCATCCTATTATGGCCCAAAATGGTACGATAGGAGCCATGAAGTCAACACACCAGGCTGGTTCAAAATTTAAACAATGAATTTTGAACTTTTAACGATACCACTGCATTGAAAGATGGAATAACTGTTAGAAACAACTAGGAAGAAAAAGACTGTTTTCAACTGTTCAGGGCAAAATATGAGCATTTTGCAGTTGATTCTGATTTTTTTTTTTTTTTTTTGCAAATCAGAAAAATGAAGCGGGCGAATCCGTTAACCAAGAAATTGAATTGGTGTGGCCTTAGATAAAGCTGTGGCTTCAAAAGCAACTTAACACAGAACCGATACAAGGAGAATGCCTATAGGTGTAGGCACATGATTTACAAATTTTCTCAATCCATTTTCTATGAACGTACAAAATTTTCTCAATCCATTTTCTATGAACGTACAAAATTTTCTCAATCCATTTTCTATGAACAACGTACTAAATTTTCTCAATCCATTTTCTATGAACGTACTTAATTTTCTCAATCCATTTTCTATGAAGTTCAACGTACAAAATTTTCTCAATCCATTTTCTATGAACAACGTACTAAATTTTCTCAATCCATTTTCTATGAACATACTAAATTTTTCCATCCATTTTCTATGAACGTACTGAAAAGGTCTTAAACTTGTTGTGACCTTGACCACAAAAAGGTTAACAGGACTCCATTTTTTATAGGCTAGATCCTTACAGTCATTCAGGCAGACAGTAAATTAAGTTGGAAGTGGAGGCGACAGCCTTATCAAGACTCTACGTGCCGAGACGCCTTTGAGAAAGACGTAATCCTGAACTTATGATTCTACAGGGCAATCTGTTAGCCACAGAGCCTGGCTGGCTTAACCTGGAAACACCTCAAATTTTATCTGATTAAATCAAGGTTTCCTATTAAAGTGATGATTTCAGAGGCTCACGTTGTTTTTATGTACAGAAATTTTGATTCTATCAACCTCACTGTTGAACGCTGAGTTTCTAACTAATGTTTTCACTACCCAATTATGGCTAAGTCAGAGTAAATTTAATTATGACTGCCAGTAACCTCACTTTGCTGAATTGCTATCTTGTTACCTCCGGGTAGGGATGTATATCCCGAGCGCGGAGGTTTTGTGAGGGAAGACGAAAATTGCGTTCGCACCCGATTCTCGCGTTTGGGTGGACGGATATGTCTGGGACTTGGTATACGTTTTGCTGTTGGGCTGTAGATGGTGCACGTTGTTTTGGTTTTTTGGTATGTGTGATTTAGTGCGTCAAAATGACGCCTTTAGACCGCCGATGGACACCCCTTTCAGTGTGAAAGTGGGCCTCAGCTTTTGACCTTTGCATGTATAAGGACGATTGAGGTCGCGACCACTGATCTGACCTTTCACACAGAGGGGTGTCAGCATTGTGGGTAAATTCTTTCTTTGAATCTGTTCAGATGTGAACCACATGTGCCGTCAATCAACGTCTCATTAACGTGCCTGGTGGGATCGCGCGGGTCGCAGACAGCTAACTTCCGGGTGGGCCAATGGGTCAGGGGTCAACGCCCTCTTGCGCAATTTCGGATGTTTTCGGCTTACAAATACCGTGGTATACTGTCTCAGACGTTGTCGACATGCAGTTTGCGTGGGGTAGACGGGAGTCGGTGTATCTTCTGTTAAAAAGTATGGGCTGTAGATGGTGCAGGTTTTTTTTTTTTGTTTTATTGTATATGTGTTTTGGGGCGTAAGATTATTTGTATTTCGTGTCACGGACACCCGTTTCATGGGGGTGTAAGGGACTAAGCGATATTTACCGGGGGGGGGGGCGGTCATTCGGGGGTAGTGTAAAAACATTTTTCCGATGCACGCACACCACTGGGAAGGGTGCAAATGAAGTTTCAAAATCTACAGAAAAGCCTTCCCTACATTTTTGGTCGGTATCGTTTCGATTGACGCGAAACACACATACACCCAGACACCAACCACTAATTTAAAGCACAGTCCCAACTTCACCTACCATCCTCCAACATACATTACAATACCCGGAGGTACAAAATCTAAGATTTTCCTTGTTTTTACTATAACTAGTCGCCAATTATAGCTAAGACAAAGTAAATCTAATTATGGCTGCCAACAAGTTAATGAAACTTTGCTGACTTGCTTTGTTGTTTTTACTATAACTAGTCCCCAATTATAGCTAAGTCACAGTAAATTTGATTATAGCTGCCAACAACTATAATATTGAAATTCTGACTATATAACAGTGTTACCTTGTTTTTACTATAACTAGTCCCCAATTATGGCTAAGTCACAGTAAATTTACTTATGGCTGCCAAAATCTTCACTTTGCTCAATTACTATATTTTTTTATTACAAGTGCTCCCCAATTATGGCTAAGACACAGTAAATTTAATTACGGCTCCAAAAACTCACTTTGCTGAATTGCTATGTTGTTTTTACTATAACTAGTCCCCAATTATGGCTAAGTCACAGTAAATTTAATTACGGCTGCACAAAATCCCTGGCCCAATACTTGATTGACATATCGAAAGACCCTCCAACTCTTGAGCCACCTGTAGTTAAACCCATTTTAGTTTTGGTTTATCAACTGCCTGAAACAGTAATTGTTAAAGCATGGGTCTGCCAGTCTTAATTGAGGTAGAATGAAGGGTGACTTATCCAATGACAGACCGCAAAATCGAAGTAGGGCCCTGAGGGTAAGAGGTCGACCTGGAAGACACACTGCTTAGAGGAGGGCCTGCATGGGGGGTAGTGATTATGATTTACGCAAAAATTTTCACCACCGATTATGAATTACATGTACGTTAAAGTCTCAGAGCTAATTACAACTTTACGATTTGCGGCTAATGTCCGTGATTACGCCTTACGAAAAAGGGCGGAGGCTGCCTACAAATTACGGAGTCTAAAAAGGCCTGATTACGCCTTACGAAAAAGGGCATGCAGGCCCTCCTAGAGTGTATGGTTTGTGGGTAACCTAAGGCTTTCTGTCACTGAAGTCAACTTTTGGGTCAATCCTTTTGTTTTGGGAGCTCCTGTCACCACTTGAAGCAAACTAGCAACAACATATGGTGAGAATTGAGTGAAATGAAGCAAAAAAACATTTAAAAGGGGAGGATCTTGGAAGAGAGGTTAGGGTTAAAAATTAGAAAAGAAGGGCAGAAAAAGGAAGTACAAACCCCCCTACAAACATTTTTTTAAATTATTTCTTTACAGTAAATGAGAGTTAAAGATATCACTGGTTGTCTTGTGATTCAACAGTGCAATAAGCAAGAGATTTTTATTATTTTTTTTACGGTAAAAGTTACGTTCTTTACAAAACATACAAGTAGTCAATGCAGGGACACCTACATGTATACCATTAGTTATTTTGAGAAATTAATGAGAGTTAAAGATAGCAGGCTGTGTTGTGGTTCAACAGTGCAATAAGCAAGAGGTCTCAATGATCTCCTATACTTGTAATTAAGGACAATCGTTATACAGCAGATATGCCTGGAGCTGTTTCCAATTTCTTGCTTGACTGGGGTTTCTTTCTCACCTTGACGAACAGACAGGGACAAACCACTAACACCTGTTAGGGGGGGGAGGGACCCAGAGACTTGTGAGTGATAATGTTTTGTCTCAGTTTTCAGCTGTGTCACTGCATGAAATTGAATATTCTATGATATCTTTAAGTCACCTTAAAGCCATGCCCGTTGCCAGGGAGAGTTTGGGGGGTT